AAGTTGCAGCTCTAGCTTCTGGAAAAAAAAAAGGGCAGTTTTGGATTGCTAGATCTAAAGGAGAGCAAAGCACCGGGGGTTCGGCTCTGTAGAATAACTGCAGCTTGGCAGCGTGTTAAATTGAGGGGGGTGGGTGGGATGGGTGGGAAGGAAGAGAGGGGGGATTAAATAAAAAGGAAGAGATCAATGTCGTCGCCGGTGAGAAAGGTCAGGAGCTATGCAGACAGGCGGTGCTGGGGAAACATGGAACAGGAACCCAGCCAAAAATATAGCCCGCGCTGCATAAATAACTCATTTTCCTGTTAGCAGAATGGAGCGGCTACCGAAGGGGAAAAGAAAAAAAAAGACAAATTGCTCAGGGCTGAAATGTAAAGCGACTCGACGGGGGGGGGGGGGTAATGGGGCAACAGAGTCTCCATCAGACTGCAGGAAAGAGCAGGCCTGAATCAAAGAGGAAAGGTTGGAGAGACAGACGGACACACGTAAGAATCGCAGGCTTGCAAGGGACCTCAGAGGTCTTCTAGTCCAACCCCTCTTGGTCAAGGCAGGAACCTTACACCATCCCAGTCAATTGGTGATGCAGTCTAATTTTGGGAAACCTCCAGCGATGGAGCACCCACAACTTTGGAAGGCAAACTGATCAATTGTTCTGTCGGGAATTTCCCCCCCCCCGTTAATTCTAGGTTGGATTCCTCCTTCGTCAACTTCCACCCATTACTTCTTACCTTCCCCTCTCTGGAGAATACGTCAATCCCCTCTTCTCCATGACAGCCCCTTAAGTACTGGAGGACAGTTATTATGTCCCCCACAATTCTTCTCTCTCTCTCTCTTTCTGTCTGTCTCTCTCTGTGTGTGTCTTTCTCTCTCTCTCTCTCTCTCTCTCTCTCCCTCCCTCCCTCTCTATTATGGCTAGTAGTATCTCCTATCTATCTATCTATCTATCTATCTATCTATCTATCTATCTATCTATCTATCTATCTATCTATCTATCTATCTATCTATCTATCTATCTATCATCTATCTATCATCTCTCTCTCTCTCTCTCTATCAATCTATCTAGATATCAATCTATCTATCTATCTTTCTCTCTATATCTATATATCTATCTATCACTCTATTTCTCTCTCTCTCTCTCCCTCTCTCTCTATTATGGCTAGTAGTATCTCCTATCTATCTATCTATCTATCTATCTATCTATCTATCTATCTATCTATCTATCTATCTATCTATCTATCTATCTATCTATCTATCTATCTATCATCTCTCTCTCTCTCTCTCTCTCTTTCTCTCTCTCTCTCTCTCTCTCTATCTATATCTATATATCTATCTATCACTCTATTTCTCTCTCCCTCTCTCCCTCTCCCTATGATGGCTAGTAGTATCTCCTCTCTCTCTCTCTCTCTCTCTCTCTCTCCCCCTATGATGGCTAGTAGTATCTATCTATCTATCTATCTATCTATCTATCTATCTATCTATCTATCTATCTATCTATCTATCTATCTATCTATCTATCTATCTATCACTCTATTTCTCTATCACTCTCTCTCTCTCTCTCTCTCCCTCCCTTTCCTTCTCTATGATGGCTAGCAGGCTTCCTCAAAGAAAGATAAGCTCCAGGTGGGAGAACACAGCACTATTGTTCAAAGCCGCAAAAACTCCTTTGCATTTCTCCCCGGCAGGAGTTTCAATTAGCTTCTCTTATTCCATCACGATCTGCGTTCTGTCTTTGTTCTGTTTATATTCAACTTTTTTTCTCTCCCTCTCTCCTTAACATCTGTTTCTTCCCTCTTTTTTTTTTTTTTTTTTTTTTTTTTTTTTTTTTGTTATTTTCCTACGCAGATCATGCCCTTCTGGCTAGACTAAAACAGAGCGGGCCAAAGAATTTCGAGGCTGCTCGTGACAGCCAAAGAGATAAATGTTTGGCCAAGTTTTAAAATGGGAGCAGATACGGAATCTGAGAGCGTGCTGTGTTTTTGAATTGTTGGGCTTTTTATCTGCCTGGATGCTTTCATGCACTGAGGTGTTTTCACAATCTG